CTTAGCCCGCTCGACGGCGCGACAGGCACAGCAGATATGCGCCAGGCTCATGTACACGGCCATGTATGGCAGGATGTCCGCCGGGAAGGCAAAGGCGGGGCTGATGCCTCGTTTGCACAGCATTCAGTCACACATGATGCAATCTGCCCTGAGGAATGAAAAAGTGCACATTCCCAGTCTCAAAGCGGCTGTTTCTGAAGCCCAGCTCCGCCGCATCTCCGAAGTTGCCACTCACGCTTGTCTCCAACGTGAGCTCGGACATGGCGGTCACCTGAGCCGCGCATCACTCTCACGATCGCCTTCTGCAGAACAGCAAACAAGCCCTCACGACGCTGCAGGCGAGTAACCACCATACACAAGTAGGTAATGCTGTACCCCAGGTCCAGCACGACATCCATGACTGCGGCACCTCACTCCCTCTCTATCACGGCCCCGCAGTTCCCTCCCTTCTCCCCTATCCCACTCGCTTCCAAGGGACCATAGCGACAGCATCGAAGATCGGGCCGCGCAAAGAGAAAGCTCGGGTAGATGCTGTTCAATGCCAGGAGTGCCCAGAAGATCCAAAAGAGCTTCTTCAGCACTTGAGCTGCAGGGACATCCTGGTACATCCCGAAGGCGACGGTACCTCCAAGGAGCTGCACCTGGGGGATTGCTCTTGTTGGGTATTGCACTTGTTGTGATTTTCTCTGAACCGCTTTTAAGGTGGGCGAGCACCTTGCCGAAGGCTTGCAGGAGCACAGTCAGTACTTGCATCAGCGCGACCTTCACGGCACTGAGATCACATCAGTGGCATGAAAACCAAGAATATTGCAGGGCAGGGGGCTGCGACACAACTGCCTGGCCTTGATCACGTAACAGTTGCCATGAACTCCAAAGTGTCTCTCAAAGATGATCTGCGAAGGCTTCAGCCTCCGTTGTCTGCTATAGTCTGCCAAACTGCTTCCAGTGACGTGACTCAAAAACCGGGCAGGTCAAAACTAACGCCGGTATTCGCTGCGCCCTTCCCCCCCCCTGTAACCCGAGATTGCCTGCTCAATTCTTGCAGATGATCTGGAAACGGGACTGTCGAGGGCAATACTTCTTGGGGTTGACGGGTGATTACACGACACTCTCCGCAGAGCAGCACTCAGAAACAACGGGTCACACGGAGGCATCCTTCTCGGTGCTACTTGGGGGTTTCCGAAAATAGGGGACCCTAATACTAATATAGTATTCTAAATAGTGGATCCCGATTATCAGATATTATAAGGACCCCAAAATAAGGTACCCCTCCAATTTTCGGAAACTCCCACTTACTTCCCACCACCTGCAATGCCACCACACGCTGCAACTGCGGCCTCCGTGACCTTTGGCGACGGCACCGGGCAAGGTCGTGACCTGGAACAGAAGACTGACGCTTTCCACAACAATCCTCCCCAGATTGAGTCGCTGGAATCTTTCGATTATGGTGGTCGGGAAAAGCTTCGAGCGTCTTCCTGTCACAAAACTTGTTTTCATGATTGCAGACAAGCCACTGAACACCAAGATGAGCACGACGTAGGGAAGCGCCAGGCTAACGACGTCGAACCAGGACCTGTCCTCCTCGTCCATGGACACGTGGAGGCTCAGGAATTCACGGAGGGGTTCTGGCAGAGTCTCGCGCAGGTTTGGCGGCGCATGGCGAAGGAAATACTGCGCTGCAAAGTAGGCGCTGCAGAGAAGAGCCGTGACTCTTACCAGGCCCAAGGTGACGGTAAGGAAAACGGAGGGCCGCCTGGCCGAACTCTTTGCAGCCTTGGCCTGGCCTTTTCGATCCTGGCCCCCGGTGCGAGGCCGGGACTCGACCAGAAGGCCAAACTTCTTCGCAACGCGGCAGAGGCCTGCAAGCTTCTGTTCTGCCTTGGCCAACGACTTCTCCAAGAGCCGCACGGTGGCAAGATAGCCTCACTGCAGAGCGAAAAGAAGAGATGGCACCTTCACATCGCCACTCTCAATTATGGTTCAGGCTCACTCAGCCAGCGGCCCTCGATACCAAGGACGACTTCACAGCACCTGCGCTGACTGTCCTCTTCGGGCTGAATCGGCAGCAATCAGGACCCACCCTCCAAACAAACGCAGAACACGCAGATGGCAAACAAAGCAGCGTCCTCTTCTGCGAAGCCATCTCGTAAGGCAACGATGTAGATGGGCTCCTCCTCGCTGTGGAAGCACCTGAGACAAGGGAGACATGACGAAAGATGAACAGGGAAAGCGTTGGGCGACCAGCGTCGCACACAAGCTCACCGGGCTGTTCGGGCCTGCTAAGCTCATTCCATGTCTGCCGCACGTGCCGGAGGTCGTTGCAATAGATGTCGCAGTGCAGGACGTCCACTGCCCCTAGAAACTCTTACGGCTTGCAAGGGCGGATTCAGGCGCTCTACTGATGACACGATAGTAGAAGGAGCAAGGCAGTTGCTCCCCCGTGCCTTCACACCCATCAGAGACGAGAAAAGACTCGTCTCCGCACTTGATCTGTGCTTCCATGTCTTCTGCGCCCACAGCCCTCACAACTTTCTGCACCGCTTTCCTCAAGAACATGCTTGAGCTTCCACAATGCAGGACCCCTCGCATCTCTTTAGAAAATGCCCAGCAACTGGAAGCTGGGAAGGTGCTGCTGCGCGCGCAGGAAGTTGGTCTTCCTAGGATTGCAGCTAGTGATTGCTGCTTTAGAAAACCCTATAAATTGCCCTATATACTAGAGCCTAAGCTTCCCTAAACCGCAGGCCTTGAATGGAAGAGCACTGCCTTCAGGCAAGCAGCAGGTCACCCGTCTCCTGCAGAATGCGTGGCTTATATGGCAAGAACTGGATATCCCGGTGCTCGGTACAAGGGTTTCTATAAGGATTGAATTCAGGATTACTGCAGGGGTTACTGGTTACAGAGGGCTACGGTTGCTGTATGGCTTCTTGAAAGGTGAAGTTGCCCGAAAAAATCTGAGTTGTAGGATGTTGTAGGAGGCGTGTACAGGCTTTTTGACTCGCACGCTCGCGCAAGCAGGCACGGCTTAAGACAATGCAGCACTCACGCCGACTATTCAGCCACCATCCAGCCGCGTGCGACGGCAAGCCACAAGAGAAACATCAAAACTGAAACACCAAAAGGAAGACATCAGAGAGCTCTCGCACGTGACTAAGCGTTCCAGCCGTTTCTCCAACAAGACAGAATTAAGCCCAACATAAAGCCGCTAAATAAGCCGAAGTTGAGATATGAAGCAGCGTCACCGGCGGTAGGCTAACCTATAGGTGTAGAGCGTTTGGGTTTGGGCGCTTGTTGTTCTTAGCATCGCGCTCCTGCCGCACCTCGTCAACGCTAGGATAGCTGTCCCCAGCCACACCGAAAACCAGCGAGGCGTGGCGTATGCACTCGTCCTCCCCCAGCACCTGCTCAGACCCTATCGACAAGCAGCGAAAAGCCAACTCTTGTGCGAACACGCAGTAGGCAACCTTAAAACGCGACCATCCATTGCTGCATTGCTGCGGCGTGTCGGCGCGCCTGCGAGTAGAAGCCCTCCAGCGACAGAGACAACTCCAGCGTGGCGCGTTGCATTTGGTCAAAGCGGAAGCTGGCGTAGGAGAAGGAGGCGACAAGCAGAGCCAGCAACAGTGCAGAGAGCGAGGAGACCTCAAACACGCACTGTACCCATCGCACACATCTCACGCACAAAAAGACTGTCTCAAGTCATGCGAGTTGAAAGGGGGTGCCTCTGCCTTGTTGGGATGTTTGGGAACGCTGCCAGGACACGGAGAAGCCGCTCACGTCCGCCAGGCCGAAGACCAGAACTGGATACCTGGGAAACCCGCTTGTCCGGTGCTGCATAGGACATGGCACTGCGACGCGCAAGAGCTGCGATGCTTCGAGGCTAGCCGAATTTGTCGCCAAGGCACAGGGAGAGCAGGATGAGCAGCAGCAGACCTTTGTTCCCCACTCAGCGTCGTATCAGGGAAGGTCAAGCCTTTTCCTTTTGCTTCGGTGGAGGGATCTGCAGCGGTCTTGCGACCCAAAATCAAACCGGATGCTGGCCTTTGGAGTCGATGTCGGCCGCTGCCTGCACAAAGAAAATCAACGCCAGCTCGAAGTATCGGCGGGCCTCCCGTGGCGAGCAGTTGCAGTTTGTGGATTGGGGCAGGACTCGGCCACAGCTTGTGCTGTCTTTGGCATGTGCCACCAGCATTCCATGGGCCAGGCCTCTTGGAAGTTGTCTAAGAAGCCCCGCCAGAGTCTGCAGAAGTAGTGCTCGTCACAATACCCAGTCCTGAAAGTCAGATCGAGACATGAAGGAATCGGGCTAAAGTAAGGCATCTTCGAAAACAGAGCCAAGGCACAAGTTTTCGTGGAATCGCGGGCAGCCCACGTGGCTGCAGGGAAATGGCAAGCCCTGCACGGCCGCAGTTTGGGCCCAGCTTCGGGCAATTGGGGGTTCATGTGGTGCATCTTCGTGTCCCGATCATGGATCTTGTGCATCTCCATCTGGACCGTGCTTCGCCGCGCGCTGGGTTTTGAAGAGCCTCCACGCACAGAGGAGTCAGAAGAGAGCAAAGGCAGCTTGGGAGCCCAAAGCATTCCGAAGCCTCGGCAGCCGATCAGCTTTCGGGCACACTTCTCTGGCACCTCGCGGCTTCGCAGGGGCACTGGTTGCGGCTCCGGCACTGGCGCTGCCGCACAAGTAAAGCTAAAAGCCTTGGACTCGATTGCCGTCCGCAGCTGCTGCATCCACGAAGCTACATCCTCGCAACACTGCAGAGAGTCGGTGTGCAGCGACCCCGCGAAGCGAACCACGCGAGCGACGCGTCGTTGGGATTTGCTCTGCCCGCAGAGTCCCAGCTCCTCGATGCAAAGCCACATCTGCAGCTCGCTGTCATGTCTCTGGAGCTTTCGCCCGGCGCTGTGCCTGTCTTTCGAAGGCCGCCCACTGCTAATTAAGTGAGATAAGTTGATTACGCGGCATGGGCAAAGGCCCACCGCTACGGCAAGTTAACACTGCCAAGGCGCAATGCTTGCTTGGAAGTCAAGGGTACCTGGCAGAGCCGAACCAACAGGAAATCGTGCGCGAGGCAAACAAGACGAGATGCAATGAGGCCTTGGGACAGCCTTGGACGTCGAGAGATAAGGTCTCCAAGTGGAGTTTTAGCCTGGGGCCAGCTTCTTCAGGCGTCTTCAATTTCAAGGATTGTTTAAACTCAAACGGGACCTGGGATCTCGCGAAGGCAAGTAGCAGGGCTTCGGTGAAATGGAGGTCTTCAAGCAGGGGAAGGCTTGTAAACCAGAGCTCCAGATCGCGCAGGGTTGGGGCCCCAAGTAGAGGCGCTATGCCTTTGGCTTCTCTCAGGTATGGTCCCGAGAATCGAAGCTGCAGGATCCGCAGCTGCGGGCAAAGGCCCTCATTGGCTTGGAAACTTTCAAGCCCTGTGTGGCCAAGATCCAGGCGAAGGCTCTGAAGTGCTGTCGGCAGGTGAGCCATCAGAGCTCGCTGCTCTGCATCTCTGAAGTGCTTGCAGCCAGTGAGTGAGAGCTGCACTGTCAAGCGCTCGGTGTCTGCACAGAGTGCAGCCAAGAGCGCACTTGCATCCCGGTTCTGAGCATGGCATGCGTAGAGGCCGCTCACCGCAAAGTGGCTTGCAAGCGCTCGGTTCACCACGCTGTAGCTAGCGTGATTCTCCGGTGGGAGCTCATCCAGGATCCGCGTCACTGCCCGAGGACAAGCGATGCTATTCAAGATCCGTATCTTGTCCTGATCCTGGGAAGCCTGCGCAAGCTCGATGCTCACTGCCAGTCCTCGTTGTAGCAGCTCTGCTGGGAAAGCCTCTTCTCGCCGCGCTTTCTCAAGAAGGCCCAGAATGGGCAGCAGCTTGGCCTCTCTCCCTGCAACACCATCCTGCAAGAGAAAAGCCAGCACTGTGCAAACATGCGCAATTATTGAGTGGGGGCTGTGTCTGCGAAGAGTCTAGTCATGTCTACACACGCGTGCACGAATATTTGGTTGACAGCCGTGTCCGTCACGAGGCAGGCCACATCACCGGCTGTTGCGGCCACGTCCAAATAAAGCTTGGAGGAGTGTTCCACCTCAGC